GGAGGTTACTGGAGGTACTCACTGCAGTCACCTCGCCTTCCCAGGAGGGCGAGAATGCCCCTAATCCACAGGCACGACAGCAAGAACCCACAGTGGGGATCCGCTAATGCCATCCTTGCACCATTTCTGGTGGAAATACAAATTTCACGGGTGCCAAGTTCCTTTTTCTGCTATACAGCAGCAGGAAAAAAAAACAACCACCAAAAAACAAAGTCACTCACAAATCTGAATTACATGAAGGAGGAAATACTAGCAAAGTTGCTACTGAGCAGCCCTGTTCCGTGGCATAAAAAGCAATTCAACTAAACACAAAAAGCAAGGTCCATGCAAAAAAAATTGCAGTCAGGAAATGCCAAAGTTAAAGGAGTGTCCTCGCTCTTCCAGCATGGCAGTGCTTCCAGACAGAGGTAACACCTTTCATAAGGCCAGCGAACACATTGGATAAATGTCTTGTAACACACAGCCCTTTTTCCCCCCTGAACTCTGAAACCTAAGTGCCCTCACTCCACAGCTAAACAGTAAACTGAGAAGAACTGCTCCAAATTTAACCAGGTATCTGTCACTCTACCCATCTGCCAAGAGATGAGGTAGTTGGCACGTTGAGACAGGTAATTTTTAGCCTGTGGAACACGGAGATGAGAGAAAGGGAATTAATTCAATTGGCTTTGTTTTGCCTGGCCAGGTAGAGTTCCCAAGTGCTCTGGAAAGCATCCCAGACACCTTCCAGGACAGAGATAATGTTTCTCTCCAAACAGTCACATACCCCACTAGCAACTGGGTGCTTTTGTTTAGCATCAGTTATCAAAAGTCCTTTTTGGCACTTCTTTGTTTGGCCTCACCAAAATGGTACGGCCCTCAAGCCTTGGTTTTTTAAGGCTGATGCAGCTGTAAGACCACTGAGTTTTCCATTAAGTTCTTACAAATATCCTCTTGTGCGTATACAAGTGCACTGCAAACACAAACACCGAAATTACTGATCTGGTTTGTCAAAGGGTTATATATACTTCTGAGATTTGCCTGAGAAACATCATATTCCTGTAAAAACAGTTCTTCATCAGTCAGGGTGGAGTGGGGGGACCCTCAGGATTTTCTGCCTCAGTACCTTATGCTACATTGAATTGGAGGATTCTCTAGAGATGTGGAAATGCTAAATAAATACTTCAATACAGTTCTCAAAAAGAACAGCAAGATGAGCAGTTTCTGGAAGGTGGCACCTCAGTGAAGGCAAGCTAGTACAGCTGTGAAAGGCAAAAGGACTCAAATTAAGCGTGCCTGTTAGTAGTGGAGTCTGGAGCAACCCCACTCCAGCTTTCAGCTTGGGCTGGTTCTGTCTGAGGGGATGAAGTCAGCACACCCCAAAGGGCTGCCTGTAACTTGTGTAGGCTTAACTAAGCCAGCCCTAGAAACTATGTCACCTGGGTACTGCACGAGGTGAGAGCTCAGCGTGGGCACCAGTATCTCCCAGCAAGACGCAAGATAAATGCGGCTCAACTGCATTTCATCCTACACTGTTACCAGTCAGGCTCTGCACGGGCTGCAGGTGTACTTCCAGACTGTCGATTTAACAGTTCCTTCAGCTCCAGAAAGGCTTTGATTTTTCTGTATACAGGGGAAGCTACCATGTTTAGCATCACTGTTTTTCTCCAAACCTTTAAGAAATCTTTGAAGTGTCCTGGATAAGTCACCTTTACACTAGGTCTATGCAGAAATCCTCACTCCTGAGAACCCTTCAACAGGACAGACATTAGCCAGTACATCAGAGGATTCTCAAGGGGAAAGAAAGCCTGACTGAACATGGGAGACACCTCTTCCTAAGGTGGGATCTACGGCACCCTGAAGCATTGCAGAGGGGCGAGACTACAGGTACAAAGCTTTGCACCCCAACATTTAGGCTGTTTACTGGTAGGAGACACCTTATCTGCAGGAATAGACAGCCTGCAGCAGGAGGACGTGCCAAGCCAAATGATAACAATCCACTAGGCAGCGGTCCAAAGAAAGATGCAAAATGGCTATCCATCCTCAAATGTGGCTGGGGTTTTTTTTGGCTGCTTTTACCTGCTACTCCAGAGCAAAGGAAGAACATCGGAGAAATCTGGTGACTAAGGAATGTCCAGAGTTATTCCACCATGGGAAGACAGGGACTAGGGTGATGGTGGGGAATATGAAAGAATCTCAGTGTCTAAATAAAAATTTGGAGTGGTCCAAGGGCAAGATTCACACCCCAGCAAGAAGGGCCATCAGTGAGTTTACTCTGCTGATGAGACTACCAGTTTTTTCCCATTAGCAAGGAGGCACTAACAGCTCAATCATTTTTGCTGCAGCAGCTTCACATGAAGATCTGGCATAACCACAACCCTTGTCCTTAAAGCTTAACACATTGAAACCTATACTAAAAAAAAATATTCAGAAAACCAGCTGATAGTTGAGAGAGATCACAGTTGTTGCCAAATAATATTTATATTAAGTAATATGGTGTTTAGACTAATATCTGCATGAGTTGCTGGCTCAGCTCTAGGCTCATTGATGTTACCCGCTACAGCTCACTGCAGCATGCGGAGGCGGACGTATGATTTTGGAAGCAGAGAGTTTAAATTCCAAATAAGCACGCTGTTGCATTAAAACATTAACTTTGGCATTTCATAACAATGTATTTAAAATAATAAAATTAAGAATAACCTAGAGTAAAACATCCAAGTGTGGAAATCAGCAGACTATTGATTTCTCACATATGCATTTGTCAAATGCCCCTGCTTCTAGGGTGTTTCCCACCATGACATCACAGAAAGCTTCAAATGCCATTACAGAAAATGCAAGAGTATCCAAGGGAATGTAGGACTCAAGTCGGCCTTTAGTTGAGAAGATGTTATGCCGACTGTGTCTCTTCGTCCAGGCAAACCCAATATGCAGATATTGACTGTGATATTCAGTACTGGATTTTGTCCTCCAAGAAAGTGGACAGGGAAAACATTTGTCCACCACAGAGGTGCATCACTCTCCAGGACTCAAGCTTAGCTGCCTTTAAAGTAACAGCAGACCAAGCAAGCAAATTTAGTAACCTCAGTTACTTGGGTCATCATCTTGGACACCTCCATCAGAGATGATGAGCCTGGATCCCTCAGGCATCTGAAGAGCAGCCAGACTAGCCAGGAAAACTTCAGCCCTTGAAACAAACAGGTAGTGAACTCTTCACCTCCAATGTGTGCTTAATCGCACTAACATGGTGGTTGCACTGCAATCTGGTCAAGTCAAAGCCAATTTCTATTGGATTAAGTCCATTAGAGGCTGCTTTCAACAAATATTTACACATCAAATTACAATCTCATATCTTGTTTTGGTCCTTGTGAAACTTCATCAAATGAAATTCTGAAAGGCAGGGAACTATGAACAGCCACCAAAGAGGCGAGTGTCTCCCCGGCCATCCTGACATCAAAGTTAGGCCAACGTGGCATAGCAATATGGGAGATGTGTAAGAGAACATTTAAATGGTCTTTTTCGAAGTTTTCTGGGCTGGTTGAGAGCCACTTTGAGGACAAACTGCTGGCAGTATAAACCCCTTAGCAACTGTGAAGCCGTTAGTTATGCAGAGGAACATGCACAGTTTATATTTTGTTGTCTACAAACCTAGACCAGTCTCAATGCATGCTCTATAAGCAGTTAGTAAATGCTACTCAAGTGGTTAAGATCAAAAGCCAGTTTCCTCTAGGTATGCACTATTTAAGACAGTTTTGATCTGCTACAGAAGTGACCCAAGCCTCCGCCATTCTCAAAGTATTAACATTTATTACTTGTTTTGTAAGATTATTTTTTTTTCATTCTCTGAAACATAGCTCAGGAACCATGAAGTTGGTTTTGCCCAAACTTCACAAGCAGATCACTGTTTCAGCACCTATGTTTTCATCCCAAAAGACAAATGTCATGCTGCATTGTTATCAATCCCTTATGCAGCTCGACAACCACATCGTTGCTGCACAAGCTACAACACAGCTGCCTTTGGAAGTTATCTACCATGCTACAGGGCTTGTCCAACCCAGGAAGATGCTAATGATTCAATGCTTCCCGTACTGATCCAGCGTGTTGCCCTCCACGTACTCTAAAGCACCTATGTTACTTGGACACGTCATATTGCTACAGCATGATGGCATACCAGCTGCTTCTCACAAAGATTCCTTGGTTTTCTTGAGGAACACTGTAGTAAGCAGCTAGGTGCCACATTAAAGACTGTTTCTTGATGTGGTTCTTTCAAATACTCGTCGTAGCCTCAAACGGCCCCTTCCCCCATCTTTTAAAGAGGAAGATATGCAGAAGAAGCTCAAAGATGAAACACTTACTACTTTTTTTTGTGTATGACAGTTTAACTAATTAGTGCTACCATCAAACCTGATAATGAAAACCTAATCTTTAGAAAACATATGTCAGTGGCTCCTACAATTAGATACAGTTTCCAGAGGATTTCTTAAGTAAAATTCAGTTACACACCAAAATAAGAGCCCTACCCCCACTCATTGAAAACATGTTTTATTTTTGAAGCACCTTTGCGGTCCCAATCCCTTTAAGTGTAATGCTTCCTTACAAAACCTGCCCAGTGTCCAATCCAGATGCCAAATGGAAGAGTGTTTCCAGCTCTCCCCCTGTGCTGCCCCATGCTCCTTAGGGCTGACACACAGGATTTCTCAGGGTTACTACAGCAGGAAAGAGACGGGAGTGCTACACCCCTTGTGCAACAAAAGCTTTAAAGATATTGAAATAACCGCCCTCCCAGCCCATAGTCTGAGATCTGTGGGAAATCCAGTGTTAGGACTTCAGACAACACTTGGACCCTCTGTGCTTGCTGGGCTTAATGTCTGGAGAGGGAACAGATGAGAAAGCAAAGGGCTCAGAGCTGAATTAACTGGGCTGCTGATCCTTCCTGCCACAAAGCCCCACTCCGTTCTGCTTCCATAAGTTCGCTTTGCCTTTTTTTTTTTTTCTTCCTCCTTATAAGTGGCTTTGAGCACACTTACCGTCTGGGACTTCATCCGGCCGCTTCCTTTTCTCATAAACAACTATGATGACAACGAGGATAACGATTTCTGCCAAGATCCCCAAAAAGGGCCAGAGGGGAGCCAAGTGGCTGCGGACACGGAGGATGGTTGTGACCGAGACAGAGCCGACCTGGTTGGTTGCGTTGCATTGGTACTCGCCAGGATCCTCGTTTATCTGTAGGTTTGTGATGCTGAGCTCAGTGTAGTTGTCTTTATTTGAAATAAAGAATCTGCCGGAGGAGTTGTTGATGTCCTGATAAAAGGAGAAAGGTGAAAAAGGACAAGAGCAGGAATTTTTATAAGTTCTGGTGCCTTTTCATTTCTGTGTCATGGCAACTAGAAGAGTTTTGAGGGATTCTTGCAAATAGGCTGCTTCCTTAACGCAACAGAAAAGCCCACCACTAGTGTTTATTCTGTATCTCTCACTAAAGTGAGCTGTGCTTCAAAACAACAACAAAAAATGCCAACTGACAACCTGTATTTTCATCCTACTTTAACAGTATCAGCCATGAAATGCCAGTGCTTGTGATCTTGTAAGCTACCATGTTATGTTCCCACCCTTTTGCTTCAAGAGAAACCGTTACACTCCATTCACCAGCGAACAGCAGTAAGATGACACAGGTTGACCTAAACAGATGAGACAAGTAACAGGAGAGAGGATACATTCCCTAGCAGGGGACGAAACAATTTCAGTGTAGAGGGGGGGAAAAAGAGAAAAAGCAGTACCAGTTAAGATTATTCTACACCGCATTAGATAGCATTTTCTAACTATCTGAGGTATGATGGCCCTAATAAAATTTTGCCTTTGCTATGTTTTTAAAAAGAAACACGCACTACTCACAGATTTGTGGGCAGGACAGCCTAAGCCACTGACTTTAGGAATATTTATAAAAGCTGGAATTCAAGGCACCACATTCTTTCTACATTTGAAAAGGAGAATTCCAGAGTTGCTTACATTTAAAGAATCAAAAAGGGGCAAAACTTTGACAAAATATGGATGTTTGACCTTCCTGAAAGTTAATCTTGGATGAATTTATCAAATAACTTCACCAGAAAAAGTGTGAAGGGAAATCTGCACACCACCGCAGAGGACTCTGATGACTCACAGCACTTGTAAGTCACTCATATAGCACTGTCCCACAAAAATTTAAGCTTGCACTTAACAGTGAACGATCAACTCATACTGTTGTTTGCTTAACATTTTTAGTTCATCTATCAATCAAATTGCTACCTCTCTGGCAGATCATACAGCAACGTAAAAATAGATGGGCTGAAGCACTTAGCAACTTCCAGCTTCTCTTCTGCTATTCCAATTGCTGGTCAAATTTTCTTGCTCGCTAGGTCAGTTGCTACATGGAAAAAATACGATCGCTTAAAACACTAGTAGGTATCACTACCGCATCCTCATAGTAAGTGTTGTGAGCTCAACCAGTGAAACTGAAAAACAGTTTGAGAAATTTATAACCAAATGCATTTTTAAATCACATTTCATAACTCACGTCTTGCAATTTGTAGCAGATACCCTGAACATCACATCTTTCTGCACAGTTCATAACTTTGCCCAACAGCAACGCAATGAGCAACTCCGTTCACACAACAATATAAATACCCATTTTATACTCACTGCTGCTGAAAAATTTCAGCTTTACTCACTAACATACCAGACTTTTGAGGAACTGCATTTTGAGAAGTTATAAGGCACCCTAAATAATATACCCCTAAACCCAAGGTGCTCATTTCCTTCCTTACTGGGGGTTTTGGCAGGTTAATACATGCCTGACACCCCAGTTTTCTTACCTCAAATACTCCATTGACCTTCTTGCGCCACACCCACTCGGGATGTGGGAAGCCCACAGACTTGCAGTACATGAGGGCCTCCTGCCCCTCATTTTTATTTTCACTTCGCTTGTGGCCAGTGATGTCAGGAGTAGCTACGAAACAAAAGAAAAACCGTGTTTACAAGCTGCTTGTTAAAGAGAGAGTTATTACAAGCTCTGAGAATTTGAACAGAAAATAAGTGCCAAGTTCCCTGGAAGCTGTTCCTTTCCCACATTGAGCCTATCTTAGAGAAGAAAAATTGTGATTCCCGTGTCTCTCCAAGCAGCATCCCAATTGAAGATCTGCAAGAATGTCCTCCAGGCTTGGTTTGCCAGACAAATTGATGGACAAGGGAGAAATCTCAACATCAGACTTATCTACCAAAAACCTACAAAACTAAGACAGCCCAGCTGTTCCCCAGTATGGGAAGCTGAGAAACATCCATGTCTTGCTCCCCACTGCTCAGGAGGTCCCTGCAGCTCTGCAGTACCTTCAGCTTTAAAAGAGAGCTGTCAGAGATTCTGATTACAACTTGCCCATGGCATCAGGACTCTGAGCTGACACTGTCTTAACAGGAATTTCTGAAAGCTGAATCAAGGTATTCTTCCTTGCAGCAAAATTTTAGATTTGGTCCGCACACGTGCTGTGACTTGTTACACTTTATGCTTGTTACACCTTACAGTGACACTGCTCCTGGGTACTGCTGGGTATCTGTAATGCAGCAGAAGTCAAAATCCCTCCAACACAGAATAATTTAATTTAGCCTATACACAAATACATATATTCTAAGGAGGGTTGCAGGTGAAGCTGGGCAACCGCAAGCAAACCACAGGCCTGAATACCAACAGAGGGTCTTCTGAATTAATTTCTCTATAAATAATGTCACTGCTCTTTGCCACATTTGCCACAGCAGCCTGTTGCAGCCTAATACCTCACGAGAGATTACGATGGATCAATGGACTGCCTGAGCTGAACCTTGGCTTAAGCAGATGGCTCTGGTGCGGTAGTGATCACCTTTAAAGCCCATTCGCTTTCTAGCTTGCTAATTATGTCACACGTGGCCTGCTGTGTGATTGCAGGACACTGATCTGTTAATCCAGTCAAAGTCCTATCTGAGTGCTCCCAGAAAAGACCCCCAGACACTGGAATTTATTACAAGGGTCTAATGAAGGAGAGTTCCCTTTACCACTAGCAACCCCTACAGACAGATATAGAGAGGGAGCACAGGTTTGTGACAGCTTATCTGGAGCTGCAAGCTAAAAGAATTAAGCAAATTTCACAGTTCTGATCAGTCGCAGCAAACAAAAACAAGTAAAACATCTTGTGCAACCAGACAGCATCAGCTGAACCTGCTCTTTCCCCAAATTACATGACAACTCTTTGGGAAAGTGTTCGGCAAGTTTAAGTGCTAAAGGAATTATCCTATTTCAAAGGCAAGGGCTTTTCAAATGCAGAAAGCATCCCACGCCTTATTCCTGCAAGATTCTTTTTGGACAGTAATGCAGCTGATTGATAATGTTGTTAGAGGCAGAATTAAAATAAGCTTCTGAACAACAGAAAAATCATGGTTGTAAGAATACTTAAGCTACAGCCTTCCTTAGTATGTGTGTATTCATCTGAAAAGACACGATCAGGAGAGGCTGATCAACCCAGGCTTTTCTCAAAATGCCTGTGTAAATTCAAACAGGATTTCCAACGTACGCGTGAGCTTTACAGAAGTTCTGCCCATTTGCCATATAAAGAAACATGCTTTTGCTGCTTACAGAATTATTCACTCTTAGCTGCATTTTCTAAGGCATGATTTCACTCCAACTCAGGAACAGCCAGAGCTGTCAGTATGCACTGACAAGCTGAACAGATCCTCCCCGCTGGATGCTGCTGCAGAGGATGCAGAGGCCAATTTCCTTAGCAGAAATACTGCCCACTGGAAATTAAAACTAACTCCAGGCCCTCTGGTAGAACCCTTAAGGAAGTTATGCCACTTTAAAGTATTTTAATATGTTAAGCATCTTCTCTTTTTTTCCTGATTTTTAAGTAAACATCTCTTCAGCAGGGAGCTGAAAAAGAGCTCATTACCTAAGAAAAATACCATGATTTTATCATCCCATAAGGATGACAGAATACCTAAGAAGGTAAAGGAAGTACTTGATCAAAGTCTGTAAGCATCCACACAGGCAAAAAACGGCTTTGCTAACAATAGTCAATATACATGATCATATAGCAAAACCAACGGATGAAGCTAGACAAATGCTAACCAATTGCAAGATGATGCTAACCATAACCATGATATACAAGAACAAGGTACTACAGGTTTTATTTATCTTTAAGAAAACCGACACCTAAAATCTATCTTTACACACCAAACATGAAAATACTTTGCGATACATTAGACACAAACTGAATGAAGACACCAGATCATAATAATTCTCTGGTCTTGTGCAAAAAGAAGCTGTCAGGTATAGAAACTGAAGCAAGCTGGACAGGAAAGAACATTCCATACTTGCTGAGTGATCACATACTACCTGTCCCTACAAGGGGCAATAATACTTGGAGGAAATTAAGTTTTCAAGCTGAAGGTCTCCAAGCAGAAAATAAATCAGCTTTAGCATCAAAGGTGCTGCATTACATCTTCAGGATACTAAGCACCAATATGCAACTGCAATGTCCTTTCAAACCACCATCTACAGTCTCAAAGAGGAATATAACATTTATTCCAAAAGATGGTGGTTCAACAAGAAGCAAGTTTCATCTTGTTATCTACTGAAAGGCATCATCTCTTCCTTGCTAGGCTCGCAACATTCTCTTTTAAGCAGAAGCTAGGTAAGGCCAGTGACTTTCCTGCGGTTTTTGCTTACTTGAGGATGATATGCAGAGATCTCATCCAACATAGTGAAAATGAAAGGCCAGCAGAAGCATAGCACAAGAGACAGACTTAAGGTGGCAAGGTGATGGTCCCCAAACTGGCACTGATGGGTTGTCAAAAGCGATTGCAAATTACCCCCATTAGGAAAAGAAGAAATAGGATTCATCAGCTTAAAGTTGAAGCCCCATGGAGTCTCCATCTGTCAACACTTTGGTTTTCACTGCCATCTACCAGCAGACAGCGAGTCAAAGCAGAACCTTGCAGAGGAAAAGGGTACAGTAAGTCAGCACTCTGCAGCTGGCCCACTTTTTCTATACAGCTGCTGAGAAAGAAAGAAAGAAAAGAAAGAAAGAAAAAGGGAAAGCTTTCTAGGACACCTTAACTTCTACTGCAGGGTGACCTAGTGTTCTCCTACAGCCAAGAGATAATTATATTTCTTTAAGAGGACATCTTCGCTGCTTTATCCCAATAAAAGCATAAGTGACAAGAATACATTCTGCTCTTTCCTTGCCAGGCACAGTTACGCAGCCGCCATTTCCAGCTCTACTAGGACAGGGACTATTTTTGTATGCAGTCTGAGGGGAGCACTACATGAAATATTAATATTTCAGGGCACGATGCTAGCCAGCTTCAAGCTATGGCTGATTCAGTACTTATTCTACCAACCTATTTGGCTAATTGTGTTTTGCTGTACAAACTACAATTAAAATATTGCTGCAACTGACCTCAGTCACAGATTTAGCAACAGAGCAATGTTTGCTTGTGAAGCTTTTCAAGACAACATTTTTCTTAACACCATTCTGCTCCAGTGCCAGTAACAGATAAAGCACAGAATGAAGCAGGTTTTGTTCAGAAAGGATTTAGATTTCACTTCAGCTTTTAAGCAGCAGAATCCACATCTCTGTTCAGATACAGTTGGCTGTGGAGACGTGGGCACAAAATGGTATGTCAGCTCCGACATCAACGAAACCAAGATAATGCCCCTGATAAAAAAGCAAGTTTTTTGTTCTTATATTGTGAAACAGGAAAACTAAATACTGAAGGTTTGTTTGAAACAGCATAAGGAAGAACAAAGAGAGGCAGGGCTAGTTTAAATTAATTGCTACCAAAAAAAAAAATCAAAATACAGATTTAGCCATTCTTGACACAAGAGTAAACTTCTGTTAAGCATCATTCTTTTGATAGGCTTAAACTGAATCACAACAGAAAGGGGGTTTGTGCCAGAGCAAACATTGGACCTCCATGTTTCAAGTACCCAACAGGCATAAAATACACTGTACAACAACTTTCTGAATGGTAAGCTTTTAATACAGCCCTGAAAAGAGTTGTTTTTTTTTTTCTTGTTAGAGGACATGCAATGTCTTTTCTTGATATATAGGAGGTATTCAGCCCTTAATTTTCAGGTATTTTCAAGATATTTTACTAGCGTTGCTAAAAAGGAGAGGAGCACTAACTTGCATAACACCTCCAAACCATGTCCCAGTTCATAAAACCCCTTCAAGTTTTCCCATTAAGAGACAAAATTAAAGCAAGGGCAAAAGCACCTAAAAATATTCTTGCATGTAAAAACTATTATGTCTTATGGGTGACCTAGTAAAAGGGCTCTGGAAGATTTATTTTTCTGCATTGGAATTCTAATCCATGTCTACCTTTATAGCCTGGGTGGAGACCTAAGACACCAAAGGTACTGCAAGAAGGGAGAACGTGACATGCATTTTCTGTGTAATGCTTAAGATCACTCTAAGATGCCTTTGTGCTAAGAGAATGCCTGATTTCTTAATTAACTTCTGGTACAGCATGGTGAAACTGCAGCAGAGCTTTCTTAAGACAGCCAGGATTCAAGAAACCAAGATCTTCCAAGGCTGCTGAAATAACCACTCATTTTCCAGCATGCTGCTTGGGCTGGAGCCAGAGCAAAAGTGGAAGAGTAACATTCTGAGTACAGGCATTGTTTGTGAAACAAGAGCCCCCGGCTCAGCTGAAGTTAGGGGGTATAATAAGCATTTTTCAGAAGTGGTAAGTTTTGTGTCTCTCAGAAGGAGCGAACAGGACTGGTCTAAGCACTTGCCATTGGGAAATCAGTAGGAACTGGGGAGGATAGAAGAGAAAGGTGCAAAACAAGAAAGGGCTGAGGAGGGAAGTCGGAGGAATCCCCTTGATGAGCTAATGGCAGAAAGGCCTTATAGGAAGAGGCATTAAAAAGCTCTACCTGTCCAGGTGCACAGAAAGAAGGAAGCCTTTCATGGGAAGGCAGGGCAGAGAGAACAGATACCCTCCATCAATATCTTTCTTGATGCTTGCACCACTTCTGGGCAGCCAGGGGGAACTGGAAGCATGTTCCTCCCCATCTGGTTCTCACTGCTGCTTCTCTGCACTGGACCAGAAGACAGAAAGACAAATTTGTTTCCTCCTCCTTCTCCCAAGATCTTCGTAAGAGCAGAAAGATTGCAGAGGCAGAATTCTTCAGGGTTGCACTTTGGGGTTTGTTTGTTTTTTGGGTTGGTTTTTTTGTTTTTTTAATTTTAATCCTCAAGTTTTCAGAGCTCTAGCATCACAACAACACAGCAAAAGCACTGCAGGTATTTCCTCCGCGTGGCAACAGAGCAATTAAAAAAGCCTACTTCCAGATGGGGAGTAGACAGCACACTGCATTTTTGGCTACTGCCTAGCATGATCATCATCACTGTGTCTGCTGAAAATAACCACATCATACATCACAGCCTGCTTACCTGCAATGCTCTCAGCCAGATGACTTCACTGCAAAAGCAAAGGGTAGGATAAGATCCCTATTTCAAGGCAGAATCTTCCCAATATCAGCATTTGCTCAGCCTGTTGTTTCAGGCTTAGAGCTGCACTCACACAATGTCCCTAACAGCTCTGAGAATGTGAGCAAGAATACTCAAAGTCTCCACCAGACACTTCATCCAAAAGCCAACTGTATGAGGGAAACCAGACTTATGCCATTCCTGGGAATTCCGACAGACTGACATTAAACCCCAGTATTTTCAACTGCTGTTATACTAGTGCTGCCCTAGTAATTTTTTTACCAGGAAAATCTGCTTTAAGTATGCAAGCACACCTAGCAATTCTAACAGTGACGCTCGTGTTTCTGCATTTTTATCTTCTTACATAGCACATGCAGAGATTCAGGAAGAAAATAGGCAACATTACATAAAAGGCAAATGGCACTGGTATATCCTGGATTACATCTGCTGTGAGGCATTTGTTAAAGTTGTTCACAAGTTGTCAGAAAGTCACTATTTTGGTCCACAAGCACTTTCATATTCAGAACCATCTTTTCTATGTGCATCAGCAGTTAAAAATTGCAATATAATTACAATTAGCAATTAAATTTGTGTACAATTGCTTAACCATAAATACTGTGACAGGTCACACATGCAGGTAAGCATTAAATTATGGCATCTGCATGGTCAAACAAGATTCGTGCATCACTGATACATCACATATGCCTTGATTAACAACTAGGTAACATCTCTACACATGAAGTAGTATCAAAAATCTGTTTGCTTTGAGAACTAGAACTGTTTTGGCAGAATGTGTAGAATATTTACACCAAACTGCAGGAATCGCAGAGAATGCCTTCCTTTGCAAAGTAAAAAAAAAGCCTGCGTATCCCTTGCAACTAGCATGGATATTATTCAGAGACGTTTACATCCAAGAAAATATGTGCAATACCATACAAGTTTAGCTGTATGGCTCTTCCAGGAGCAGTAACTCAAATGAGTACTCTCTGATCGGAATGAATTTATGTACAGTGCTAGGACTGCAAAGCTCTCTAACTTGTGCTTTAAATGCAGTCCCAATTTACCACTACATAAGTTCCCAAGTAACAGGAATTAGATGGGAGAGATCTTTTCAGTCTTTTCAGTTTAAAAGTATACATACATTCCAATTTCCAATTTTCTTTGCGGAAGACTTGACAAGGTACTTCCTACTCTAGACAACTCCTGGTACTTCTCTCTGCCAAGAAGGAATTCGAGGCCCATTAGCCACTCTTGTGATGCTGTAAGGAGGAGCTGGAGCATAGGGTTACTGAGTCCTGAAATTGCGACTGCTGAGCAAGCTGCAGGTGTAATACCTCCTGAGAGCAGTGCTGGAGTCATTAACTTTTAACTGATGACTACTCATTTGTACTTATATATAAATTACCTGTGAAAAGTTGTTAGTAGGATTAGTTATTTTTCTCCCTCTGCCCTTTGTGCCAGTCCTTCAATCAGATATATTTGCTTTTCTTTCTACAATGTTAAATCCTATGTCCCTGTAAACCTCTCTGCCAAGTTCTCTTGGTGTCCCCGCCTGGCACCAGACAGCAGAGAAGCCCTAAGCCAAACGTTTCCAAAAGGTCTTTTAAGAGATTATACAAAGCTAAAAAAGGTCTTAATCTATTACCAAAGTTAAATTTCCTGTCTCTGGAAGTGGTTTGACACCCAAAGCAGACTAGACAAGGCAGAAAGTACTTAAGATCTTAATTAAGATAATATTGGAAGATACAGCAATTAGAGCGTAAAAGCAGAATGCAAAAAAATCCCCCCAATACAAGAAAAAATGCATGCCTGTGTACCTTGAACACCCAGAAGATAAGTTCACCAGAAATACAACCTAAGTTTGAATTCAATTTGCTGTAAGGAAGACAATAATTATTTTTAGAGGTGCAGTTGGAGTCTTTTTTAATCCTAGGCCAACAGGAACTTCTGGTGCATTTGCATGAGCACATATTTTAGATTTCCTTTTGCCTTGCAGAGATAGCTTCTGCACCAGATTTGGTTAAACACTAGATATATTTTGATAGGTTGTTTTATGCACGATCATTGAAAAAAAAAAAACCTTTTAAAATCAACACAGAAAAGCAGAAAGCTTTTCTTGGTACAGTATCACTCAGAATGCTTATTCATATGACAATATTTCTATTCCCCAGGAAACTGTTTGTATGGTTCAAAAGATGCTGTTCTCCAGAGAGGAAAGATGTATTCAGCATAATACTGTGCATTTGTCATTTCACACAGACTGCTGTATTACTCCCACTTCCTCACTTCGGCTTCAGGAACCTGACCATGCAGTCTTCAGTGAGGCACCAGAAATTCCCAGGAAAGAGGTCAGCTTTCAGCTTTTGCTGCAGATCTGTGGTACCTAATTTAAACAGTAATGATGATAATATAGATCAGGATAGGCTGCATCACTGCTACAGGGATGCTAAGAAATAGTGTAAAGCACCCTCCTTCCCACTCACTATTTTCAAACAGCAGCAGACGAAGCTCTACATTTAAGCTGCAGATGTAAGGAAGATGGTAGGTAATGTTACCTTAGATTTCAAGCAAGTTTACAGCACGCCTTCATAAAACAAGCATCAGTATAGTCCCAGGCAAGCACAGGCTGGTTGCAAGACTTTTTTTGCACGAACTCATCTGCCTTTGACTAACAAAGCTGCCATAGTGCATCAATTCCATCTTACTGCAGCACCTAAGGGGCAAACCACAGCTACTGCAGAGCAGTGGGCCAGTAATTTCCACAGTTATTGAATGAACAAACCACTGTATTGTGGCAGCAGTTTAGCACTGTATAAGACACCACCATCTCTATGTTACCTCTATGTTTTATGTCTAACAGAAACACTGTTCTTTTGTTCAACAATTACAGTAAAACTCTGGAAACCTTTCACATTTTGCAGTTCCTATCCACTATTTTAGGGTCCTAAAGATGTCAGAAGACTACTAACGTGCACAAGACAGAAAAAGGTGCATGAAAATAGAAAACCCCAACCTAGTACAGGGCACCTGTCCTAACCAGAACCCAGGCTTTCCCAGCAACTGAAATAGTCTCTGCAGACAAAAAACAGTTCCAAGATGCCACATGCAAGATACTCGTTCTTCTTTTTTTCCTATTCAGAACAGACAAATTCAAAGTACATTGAAAACATTCAGATGGCCTCATTTACTGTGAAACAGGGAGGAATCCACAGCTGTCTTTGCATGAGCACAGATGTATTCTACAGCAACCTTGATCCTGCTGGACAGGCACACTCTCTTGTGATATCCAGATTTACCAAAGGAGTGCAGAAGTGCGTGCTAGAAGGTGTTGTAGTATCCCTTGTGTGGACCACAAATGCAATGGTGATATTCCCATATCTGTGGGATCTCAGCCCTATGACTGTGTGCAAGACTTCCCCTTGAAATTGTAACCAAGGATTGGACACAGGCTCTATATAATGAGGAAAGGCCTCCTGAGTTAGCTCTCTTGTACGGACACCGAGCGAGATGGCAGAGGCAGTGAAAGCACTTCACTTTCAGGGAGAGGAAACAAAACAAAACAAAACAAGAGTACCTCTCACTTCTATAGTGGCGTTGGCTATAGGAGAGTTTGAAAACACAAACACGCACAAGTATTCCCCTGACTCTTCTGCTCTGGGCTTCAAAATCCTGCAGACAGGGAGAGAACACATGAGCCATGTTAAGTACTGTGTTAGCAACCAAAAATGAGCAGGCTAGGAATTTATTCCTCCCCTCCCACCCTCCACTTCAATCTTTTAACTGAATTTCACAGCTATTACTTGTTAATTCAAGGGATGTTGTACAGACGTACATACTTGAAATAAAGGATGTTGTTTGCCCAGAAAAAGGGTGAGCTCTAGTCTGGAAAGTCAGTATCAATTTAGCTGGAAAAGCTGCATTTAACTGAAAAGCAAAGAAGGAGCCTGACACCTGTTAATTATGCACTACAGTTAGCTTGATACAAGTCATCCTCAAGTCACTAGCCTATTAGGCAGGTATCACCTCCATTGAGGGAGAAATGCGATTTGTATGTACTACCTGCATTGAAAAAAATCATATGTGGACAACTGGAAAGCGACAGAGTACAAATACAATCAAGGCTTACACTGTCATCTCATAAGCCATTTTCTTTTTTTTTCATAACCAAAATGAAACTGGTCCATTAATAGTTTTCTCTGACTCAGAATGGATCCGGAAAAACTGCAAAAGCTGGTCAACTCATGAAGGAAGGCACCACACAGGAACCCACTGCCACTTAAAATTAGGAAAGACCAATACAATAACAACTAGTAGAGGAAAAAACAGATGCAAGCCAGCCAGAAGAAAATCAGAGGTGCAACAAATGCAAAAAAAAAAAAAAAAAAATCAAGATGAATTTACACTCAAAATGGTGCTAACTTCAAGTCCACCAGCTTTTGCTGTCCTTTGAAAAGCTTTCGGATACAAATGACTTAAAAGCTCTATGCATATGTTCTTCAGATTTACCTACAAAAGACATCTTAGACTACAGACGCATACAATGATGTGATGCAGTTTACATCTCCACACAGCACAGAATAAGGCAGAGTTCTCCCCACCTCTCTCTCCCGTTACTGAAAGGCTTCTTGGCTCTCTTTTTTAATTATTAATTTTTTAAAACACATTAAGTAAATAGCATAGAGATGAACAGAAACCCTGCAGAAGAGCATTGTAATAAAATAATTTAATTACACATGGAAACTGCATAGACAGGTGGAAAAAGCTGCTCAGTTTAACACAATACTTTCACTCAAGTCTTCACTGTGTTTACAGCACTTACGTTACAGAGTCGCCAGTGAAACTTTGAAGTTAGTTATAAAGTTGATATGTCTTTCAGATAAACAACAATATTACCACTTTTCACAGAGTTAAAAATTATCTTAATGACAGAAAGAATGATCATTTAGTATGAAACATCAAAGCGGTAACTGTGTTTAAACTGTAGGCAGGTACAGTATCCTTAGAAAGTACACAGCAACCCTGAACATTAGTGCCTGCCAACGTTGCTGGAAAAAGGTGCAGTCCTCACCCAGCTGCAATGGGGCAACTCCACCCAACTATTTCCATTACTAAGCTATCCTACAACACTGCAATAGTGAGGGAAGGCAGAGAAAAATACCTGGCTTTCTGTAATAGCATTTAGGACCTTAATAATTAAATAATCATAGTCTGACCACTGCTTTTTATCCACTACAGTCAATGCTTAAAGCAGGGGGGAGGGGAGTAAGACATTGTATTCTTTCAGTTCTACATAAGCTTCTTTTTAAAGTGTGAAACTATGGTAGCCTCTACTAGAGTATTATTACTGTAAACCATTAAAGCAAGTGTAAGTTGATATAGCTGCAAAGTTTTATAGACAAACAAGCACCTGAAACAAGTTTGCTTAGCCAACAACTTCCCTCAGTCCTGTGGTTTTAGGAAAAGCCCAGCTTTTTGTAGGTGTAGACTTTTCAGCAGATGCAAAACCACCCAAAAAACCATTTTCTTCAATTTAGCTCAGTAACCTGCTACTTAACTCTGAATTAACTGATGAGGAATTTGAAAAGAAATCACTACTTTTCTCCTCCAAACTATGAACATAGACAAGGGAACAGGTCTCCAGAATGAAAGCACAGGATGGCCAGAACCACTTCCAGGTACTTTCTGCTTGTAAAAGAATACACTACAAATAATTCTTCCTCATTTTTAATTAAAATGGTGAACTAAAAAGCTGTACTTAACTGTGAGCTTTCTGACTATAGCTGCCTACCAGCAAGAGCAGCTACATCAAGTTTGAATGAAGAATTCTGAAAGATGTGTTCAATTTCTAATGTTGTATGATGCAGGATTTTTAAGATACGTAGTTTAACTTACAAGTTCTGAAGCTTTCTGAATGGTAAACAACACTGAACTTCAATGCACTAACTACATTTCATAGTGAAACAACACATCTTAATGACTGAAACACCAAGAACCTGAAATATTTTTTAAGAAAAATAAGTAGAATGCAAAAGACTAATCAATCATGTAAAAAAAAAGCTGAAGTTAAATAACCTCTTTTAACTGTAACTATGTTGACGATGCTTGCATGAATTTGGTATTTCTGGATCAAAAAAAGAAAAGTAACCAAATCAAGCTAGAAGTTAAGGAACAAATCAAATGCAGTGTGACCACATGCAATGAAGAAATGCCACAGAAAGCCTGAAACCACAACATACAACAAAGCAGCTTATAAATGAGCAGGAATTTGAGGTCTACATTGCAAATGCAAATTTTCCCAAATTGTCAAGCTGTCCTGTGATTGCAGCATGCTCTCCCAACCCTTCATGCACTGGGAACAAAGTGACTGTCTTACAGTCTGCCCACCTTACTTCCTCCTTCTCCAGGACATTAAAACTGAAGGCAAGTTTAATTCTTCCTTTACTGAGAAATTTGAAAGGAAAAATCCACCCTAGCTTGGAACAGATTAGAGAAGTCAGCCTTGATACTTAGTTTCCTGAATAATAATGTGCAAATTTCAGTAACCTTGATGCAATGTACCTTTAGTAGCACTCAAGCTCATGCTTTTGAACAAGACTGTTCATCAAGTTACTTGCCAGATAAGAAAGCAGAGCCTTTAAAACTAAGGCCCAGTGTTAAACATTGTACTGAGGAAATAACAGGATGTAATTATGGAACTAAATGAGACTTTTTTTTTTTAACTGCAAAGCTGAATAGATGATGCAAAGTGAGCTAAAGTGGAAAACAAAAGGAAAAACTTGAACACATCTTTATCAGAATCAAACACAACTTCCATAATCCTGTGGATGAAAGGATGCTTTGCTAAGGCACTGAAAGCCTTGACTATTTCTTAATCCTGTGCCAGTAAGCAACATCAGCATGGTAAAGAACCCACAGTACTCTGCTAGAGACAGAAAAGCCAGTTCAGCATGTAGACACGTTTCCTTGCTTTAGTACAGACAAGGCACAGTAAACAAGATGTACTATAATACAGTGGGCCTTGCCCAGACATAACCACCTCTTTCTGACATAACAGCTGAGTAAGAGGGTCTGAAGTGGTCTCATGTCGCCAAAGAGTAAGTTACCACCAGTGGTTAAGACACTCCTTAAGTGATCTTCATCCTAGCTTAACACTGAACAGAAAGTTCTATTTGCTATCCATGGTGGCATCAAGAGAAGAAAATGGAAGGGGAAAAAAAAAAAAGGCAAGAAAATTACACATACAAAACAGATCTCTGATAGCATCACTGAGCAAGCTTCATATGCTGTCATCAACTCCAGGGCAAGAAAGCCCCATTTCAGGAATACAGAAACCCTCAAATGATTTCTGCTCGATGCAAGCTACAGTGAAACAAAAGAGGTGGCTGTACATGTTCTGTTCTCCTTCACACCCTTAGATGGAAGGTAGAAACAAAGCCAGAGCATGTCCACATGGAACAGATTAAAGCTGAAAATGTGGATGTGCTGACAAATAAGAAGCACAAGTGATACAGCTGTACTGGTTTAATCAAGATTTGGTATCATTTCATAGTAGTGGTCTGACAACTCATCAGTCACAACTCGGACAACACCATCTTTCATCTCCCAAGTCCAGAAAATTACTAAAACAGCTTATTTCAGCAGTGATTTATGTGCTGCATTTCCCTGCACACTAAAAATGCACAGCTGCAGATCCATCTTCATGTAGACATAAGCAAGACTAAGACTGCACAAGATACTCAGAGGAAAAGAAAACTAGACTATATGCCTGTGCCTATGTCCACACATTATGTATACTCTAGAAAAGAACTAAATGAGTTTAGATTGAAAAGAGAAGTTTACGGTATGTTTTTGTTGATATTTTGTTTACATGAGCTAACTGGGACAGCTGTAGACAGCAATTTTTCCAGAATTGTTCTTCTAACACTATTCACAGATGTACTTTTTGTGGAGCCTCTTATGCAGATCGACTCAATTTGTCTGACCACTGTGAAGCTGAACCAGGGACCTTGGAGTCCCAACTTCCCATCATCTATTCCAAAGCCATATGTCTACCAGGCTTGCTGTTCTCCAGTGTAACATGGAGGTTATTCTAAAGAGACTTACTTGTATTCTGTAGTGTTTGAAGATTTTCTAGTACCAGGGATCTCCTCTCCGTTCTTCACCCAGTAACTGGCAGAAAGGGGGCTGGGACTTGTGGTGAGGTTACACTGCAATGTGACAGCTGGACCATACAGATGAATGACTACATCCTCGCTGGCATTGATCCTGGGCTCTGAAACAAAGGACACATTAAATAGCAACAAATCTTCACTGGCAATTGTGCCACACTAATCTAAAATTCAAAGGGAAATTGGGAAGGGAAAAAGACTACACAAGGAATGCCATTGCACTAATTTGGGAGACATCAAGAAAGTCACAAGAAAACAGCTGACCACTAGTGAAGGCAACACCTTATAGATCAGCACCCCTATATGGAAAAAAGAAGTTTGTTTAGATTGTTTACCTTAATATTTAATATCACTACAGATTTCTGTGTAACACCATTAATCATTTTTTACACACTACTGACCATAACATGGGAAAACACTTGTCCTGTGACTACACATAAGAGATCAGCTGGTCTCAGCTGCTGGAAGCAACTTCTTTCTGGCTATTACTTGGTTCCTCTACTTACTTTGAGGTTTAAAACAAACCCATTTTCTATACAGAATAACCCTCAAAATTAGACAGTCTTCTGAATAGTATTTCTGGACATCCCCCTGCAAAAAGACTAATGTCTACCTAAGGAAAAACATCCTGTGCACACAAGATATTTCAAATAGCACGACTTTTCTGATGTCTGAAATTCAAGCAAGCGCCCAGTGTGAATAAGGCACAAGTCTGATGAAGAATGGCTGAAAGCAGCCCTTAATGTTTAACAATAAAAAGTAAGAATATACACCATGTTAAGAGTCGGGAACAATTTCATTTCTAAAGTAACCTTAATCATAAACATTTATGAAGGGGAAAAAAAAAACCTGAGTCTCATTGCATAAACAGACCACAAGAGTTACACACTCTGCTGGTTGCATCACGAACTGAACCCAGGCTGTTTTACATTACATTTGATGGTAACATCAAATTCACGTTTTTTAGGGGAAAGCCTTTCAGTAGTGAGAAGATTAGTATGAGGGCACTGTCCTTACATTTGATAACCACGTTTTCTTAAGATAATGCAGACAGATATTACTCTCCAATAAATAAGGCTGATGAATTTTTAGAATAGTTGGAGACATGCTTCTTCCCAAACTTGGAAAAAAGACCTTTCTCTTGAAGGTCTCATGGCTCACAGCTGGTTTCAAGTATTATGTAAAAAAAACCCCAAAAAACCACAAAACAAAACAAAACAAAAAAAACCACCAACCAAAAAAAAAAACCCCAAAACCCAAACCAAACCCCTAACACAGGATGACAGAGCTTAAAGGAAATTTAAGAATTCTTGCTATTTGTCTTCCAAAAATATCTAGATTCAGTATTGGCTATAGTTACAGCTTGAACTAAAGACCACTGCTATAGCAGTCTCTACCATGTAAATGCTGCTGTGTGTCCTCTCTCTGATGTATTTCCTTACTTTAAAGGGTGAAATGAATTCCAAGGAGGTAGCTGTCGCCAGCTGCTCTTTTCAGCGACCACATTCCTGCAGCGCCAACCTCTCTGAATGCAAGGGCTGCCTCCTCTGCATTCTCGTTGGCAGCAAATGGCAGAAGGGTGAGGAAGTCGGTCAGTAATGAATGTCTTAATGATTTTTGCAAGTCAGCAATGTATTTTTAATTCTGTAAATTTTGTTATGCCTTGTGGTAACATATTTGGAATATAAATTTAGTCACATCCATGCAGTCTTTTGGATATTCATCTGCAAAGCACTTGGAACACAAATTATGAAACAGAACGAGGGGAAGTGGAAAATACCAGTACCGTCAGAAACACTGCATTTTTCATCACATAAAACATTCACCTATCCAATAGTACAGTACTTAGATTATTGCCCAGAGAGGCAGGGAGAAAAATTATCTACCTACTAATAACCTGCCAAAGCCGTTTGACTCCTGTATATCCTTTCCCCCTTTCTTCAGCAGGCTGGCTACATAGCTTCTTCTCACAGCTATTTAAAAGTAGGACTATCATTTAACTGCAGAAAAATGCAGATAACTGTAGCAATGGAGTGGTTTTTGACACTTCTCATAGACACTTTGCTATTATCACACATTTTCAACTGTGTTTCTGCCTCATTGTTCCCATACTGGGAATTTTAACCATGCAAAGATCTGTTTGGATCCTATGGGGCACAAAATTGTTTTGTTAAATTAAGCCATACCATTACTGGACTGCCCTAAATGCTTCTCCATACCCAACAAAAAGCTTGCGTCCATTCTCAGAAAAAACACTAACAGAGCTCTGGAAATATTTTTAGTAATGTATTTGGAATAGTGATTCAGTGTCAGAACACTTATCTAGAGAAATAACTTTTGGTAGAATTCACTGATCATACTGGGTTTTGTTTTAAACGTTTTTCTTTGATGATGAAAGCAGTGTCTTCAAGTCTGTAGCCTGCAAAATAAATGCAGTGGTTTCCTTTCAGGAGGAGGATGCTGGCAGGACAGGCTTCAGGCCGCTGTAACAGACTGCAATGCATCTAGCGAGCATGGTTACAACAGATGCTGATGCTGTCTGTGCTGTGCTGAGACACAACCTAAAGTGCTGATCAGCCTGCAGCAATCCTGGAAACGGAAAGCATACATACGGAATGCTACCATCAGAAAGCATTACACAAATGCTAGCAACAGGAAAAAGTCAGAAAAAAAAAAAAAATCTGAATCAAGTGCCTAGAGAAACTGGAAAGTTACAAGACTTAATCCAGAAGGCTTTTGACAGTGGTAATCTTCTGGCTTTCATATTCTGTTGATAATGGACTCTTCAGCCTCTACCACTGATGAACCAGAACATAGAAGAAAAACCTGCCTGGAGCTCCAATGACTACTTCTGCCAATTCATACCTATTCCTACCTACATCTCTGCTAAGCTGCGATGTCCAGAGTATATTTACAGCTGTCTCAAGCTTGCTTTGCTGGAGTTTGCTGGGGCCTTTTGTTTCTGACTTGCAACTTTTTAAGTTTTAGGGTAAGGAAATTAAAGGCAACTGCAGTCTCATTTACATCTTTTACCTGCATTTATGTTACTTTAGTTCATTAAAAAAAAAGCAGCAATCAGGCAGTCCTAGCATGATTTAATTCTAGAAGACAAACTGCAAATGGAATACTACTGGGACATCGACATCCAAAGAAGGATGTCCACTTGAAAGAGCAAGATGCTGAAGAGTCTTTTTTTAAATATCACTTAAACTGCCCATTTTATGTAAGAGCAGGTTGTAAAGTTAAAAAACCAACCAACCAACCAAAAAAAACCCCTACCATCAGTAAGTGAAATTCTTTATCCAAATTAGGAATAAGATAGAAGCCAGATGCTAGTTCTTGGATGCTAACTTTTAAAAATCAAGTTGCACTTTAACTCTCTGCATTCAAGTTCTGGTATTTGAGACAAGATGTGATTTAAAGGACAGTGAAAGAGGTTGTGCTCTTTTGATACATTTGATGTTTCCTTTCAGTGATGTTGATGTCAAATAAGGCCAGCAGCAAAATGTCCACCATTAGCTGGAAACTCCAACACTGTTTAGTCAGGAAATGCCCATTTCAAAGACAAATTGTGTTCACACACACAGTACAGCAACTGAGACATTTTGGGCAGTTTCAGATAAGATGGTCTCCACCTTCCAGGGACAGCTTAGAAACCTGCCTCCCCCCTTATCTCCGTTTCCAGCATGGTCACACAGGAGTTTGATGTCCAAGTGGTCTGTTTCCCAAGCAGTAGCTGGTCAGATCTCTTAACATACACAATATTACAGTGTAAAAGCATTAAAGTATTTGGTTCAACGTTTCCCCACACCATGAGTAAAACACAAAAGCAGAAGAATTATCCCAGGCACAAGGCACTTAGCAATGAAGTCACAATACACACACTCCAGAATAAGTAGCACCAGATGCAACAAGACAATGTTAACTGGGGAGGAAGACGAAAGGTTAAACTTCAGTCCCTGGAGCAGGTTAGTATCAATGGCCTGAGAGAAGAAAAACCCACTTTCCATATGGAGACATTTTCACAACAATTCATTCCCAAATGGTGACTTTTCATATGAAAAGGATTTTCTCCCTCTGTAGGTTACTAAAACTGACTGGACACAAAGAGAGGAACACAGGACCACCACAGACTTGCCACACTCAAGAAAAACTAAAGGTCTCAACAGGGGCAGAGGAACATTTGCAGGAGACATTACTTCCTAGAAGACAAATTTTTTTAGCTTTGTCTTAAGGTAGTATCATTTCCTAAAGTTACATGGCTCTTGCTGTGGTAGGTGATGCAAGCAATGTACCCATCTGAGTCCTTTGGGACCTCAAAGGACAAAGGAGAAATCAAGCATTAGAACTGAAAGCTGAGCAGGTTTGAGCTGAATGACCCAATGCCACTTAAGTTTTCAAGTCAATCCACATCACTGGCTTCACTGTCTATTTTTCCACATATATCGATGTTGTTTCCATTTTCCAGAGGGAAGGTCTCTGATCCAGCAGTGCCAACTGCAGCACCAAACTTTAGGGAGAGTTTTGGTTTGTTTTTTTTTTTGTTTGCTTGTTTTTTAAAAGGTATCCAAAACCATAACTGTGACATAATTACAGAGTTTGACATTTTTGTACCCAGACAAAACTCAAAGTGGTACAGAAAAGGTTTATTTACGCTATTGTGCTCTGTGCTAGACAACACCTGTGCTCTATTCTTTGCCACCTTAGGTCACTGAGAAAGCACTGAGAAAGCAAGTTCAGTACCTCCATGCAGCAGGCTCATGTTGCAGATTTAATTCACTCGACCTATAACTCATTCGACATTTGCTTCATCTTGCTAGCAAATTCAAGAGTTTTGCATCTTACACAAAATGAAACACGGTGGTTCTCTACTGACTCTGATGATATAAATTTCCAAACTCATTTGGGACTGCTTTAAAAGCAAGCTGAATGCAGAAAAGCCTTGTAACAAAAAAGAACAAAAAGCAATTCTGGGTCAACCATATTCTCTGCTTCTGAAAGCTTTGCTGCTGCCAAAAGTTGCATTCTCAGATGAAAGTCATTTAGCTAAAGTTATTAGTTCAACACTGGGGGAGGATATTCTCCCCCCCCCCCCCCCCTTTCCCGTGTGGGTGAAAAAAAC